CAGGGGTAAAGTAGGTAAGTAAGTTTAAAATATAAAATTAATTTAAAGAAGAAAATTAAAAATAATAATAGCTGACATTTATTGAACAGTGCTAGGCAGTGCTCTAAGGACTTTAAATATATTAATACCTTTACTCATTTATTGAACCAAATTTTAATGTAATGCTTGCATGTTAAAAATTATGAAGGTGCTATTCATATGACTGAAGTGTGGAAAACACTGGTATAATTGAAAAAAAAATAGCTTTTGAAACCACCTCAAATTTAATTCTGGGTTCTTCCACTTAACAACCGTGACTTGGGCCAAGAAACTAAGGATGGTAACTGTTATGGCTTATATCTCCCATATTAGAGGAAGGTTTAGATTTAAAAATCCATTTATATAGGTACTCATGATACACACAAAAATAAGGCATTATGAGAGCCATCAGAAACAGTAAACAATAGATACAGACTTCAAAGTATTTAAAATTACCAGATATACCATATAAAATAACTAAATGTGAAATGCTTAACACAATGGAAAATATAATAAAAAAAATGCATCAGAAAAAAATATTATTGAAATTGGCAGACTTTTTTAAAAAATGACTAAATATACTTTTAAAAATGAAAATTAAAATATTGAAAATTAAGAATCTGATTGATGGGTTAAACAGAAATTGGAAAGAAAATTAGTGAGATGAATGACAGCTCAAAGAATTTACCCAAAAGCAGCAGAGAAAGAGAAAAGTTTCTGGTAATTATGCAAAATGAAGAGGAAAAAAAGGCTGTGAAAAGAAGATCTGACATACTGTTAATGTGAGTCCCAACAGGAGAGAATGAAGAGGAGCAATGTTCGTTTAATAGCTGGGAAATCTCAGAAGGAACGTCATGAGTTCACAAATACAGAAAGCACAGATATATTAAGCAAACTAGAAAGAAATCTTTCCCACTTTGCTGTGAAACCCCAGCCCTGAAGTCAAAGATATTTTAGACAAAGCCAAGAGAGTAAGATAATTAGGCTTATAGGGATTCAGCAAGCTGATTTGAAAGAGCATGTAAAGAGCAAAGACTCAAGTATAGCCAAGGCATTCCTGAAGGAGACAAACAAAACAGAAGAGGGCCCACCCTACCAGTTGCAAACACTTATTGTAAAACTCCATAAATTAAGACTGTTAGGTATTTGTGGAAATATAGGCAAATAGGGAAAAATAGAAAGCCTAGAATTATATATGCTCATACCTAAAAACCTGACAGTATGAGAAAGATGGCATAGCAAATCAGGAGCGAATTAATAAATATTGTTGGAAAAAATCACCAATCATAAGGATAAAATAATTAGGTCCCTCTTTCACAAAATAGAATTCCAAATACAGCAAAGACCTAAAATCAAAAGGCAAAACTTTAAAACTTTGAAAAAAGTGAGGAATATTTTTCTGACTTTGGGACTAACTGGGAGAGTTTTTGTTTGTTTGTTTAAACATTTAAAAGTGCTGAGCACAAATAAGATGGATAAATATAGCTAAGACACAGAAATTAAGAAGGAAGATCACAATTTTAGGAAACATACATTCAATCTATGTGTCCCTAAACAAAATTTCTTGTTCAGGTTATATAAAGAACTATTGCAAACTGATAAAAACAAAAAGGACCTGCCCAAAACAGGTAAAATGCATGAACAAGTCTGACATACACACACGCACACACACACACAAAAAAAAAGAAACATGAAAAGTTTATAACCACACTAGTAATGAAGAAAATGAACTGAAAATAACCAATTAAATACTATTTTACTCCTACCTCATTGGCAAATTGAAGAGTTCTGAAAATACCAGGTATTGATAGAAGTATACAACCTTTTTAGAAAACAATGTAGCATTATCTTATAAAGTTTAATATTCATAGATTTTCTAATCTATCAATTTCCACTCCAAAATATATTCCCTATGGAAATTCTTAATATGTACACCAGGAGACACTCACAGAACAATCATAACATTGTTTATAACAGCCAAATGCC